ACATTAAGGTCTATAAAATCATTATGAACTTGAGAATAACGTAAGAGTTTGTCTCATAATGTAACACATGTTTTTATTTTTTCCAACTTAATAAAGCACAATGAAACAATACCTTGAAGGTTCACATTTTCTTGGTTTAACGTGGATGGATTTTTGCACGAATCTTGGAGATTGATCTTCCCACCATTCAAAAAATATATAAATAAATAAAAATTACCATAAATAGAAATTGGGATAATATTTTTAAGACACAAAACTACAAGAGTTTAAGATAAAAACAAAAGAAAAAAAACAATACATACCGAGTGTTTGACTTTAGTGTCATCTATGCACCCCTGGCCTATATACTGGCCCCACCACGATTACTAGTGCTACATGCCTCTTCAAACACAAAAAAAAAATATTTGCATTAAATAGCACTAAAATTTAAGTCATTTCCAAAATAAAATTTAAACTATTTTATTTTCTAAATAACACTTAATAATGTCAAGAAGAAGGAATAATATCTAGTGATGACGAACATTTACTTAAATAATGATTTATGAATAATGACTAAAAATGCTACATTTAAAAAAAACACATATGATGCTATTTAGAGAAAATCATTATATTTTAATGATAGTTAAGAAAATTCCCCGAAAAAGAATCGTTCTCATAAAACAAAAAACTACGGAGTAATTATATATACTCGATTATTATTATTTAAAAAAAATACTTAAATACTACTCCCTCAGTCCTATAATGATCTTCTCGGTTCGCAAAACGAAGAAAAATCCCAAGTTTTTTCAATCTATTTTATTTAAATATTGGTATAGAAATAAAAAATAAAACATACATATTAAAAAACTACACCAAAAGTTCAACAAAACAAATGGTGATGACAAGAATATTTTATTTTATCATATAGGTCATGAAAAAACACAAATAAATATAAATTCTCGTGAAGTTGGAATAGTGCTCTGGGAAGATCATTATAGGACGGAGGGAATATGTATGTTAGACCAAACAATAATAATACTCATATTAAGAAAGTTGAGGAGAACAAACTCTAATTAACAAAATAAAAAGACTTCAGTACTCCAATATAATACAAATATCATAATGTTGCAAATCTTAAATAATAAAAAAAGATTAAAAATAAATACACAATCATGTTTAATTACTACTTGGAAGGAGGGTCAGGTGCCCGCATAGGTAGCTCAACTGATCCAAGGAGACGATTTCAAATCCATATATTCTGGAGTCGAATTTTGGCAGGGACAATGAATTATATTCTTTGTTATAGTTCTTTAATTGTGTGCATCATGTACGAAACGACTTCTCTAAAGATTAGATTAAGATTATACTATGATTTACTCTCCTCAGTATCTTGTGAGCGAGGTAGGGTAAAAGATGAATAAAAGAACAGTGTGGCAGAGGTAAAAATTAAAGATTGTTATTTAGAGAAAGGAACAAGGCAGATTTTGGCGGTACATACATTACAGTTTAATACGTACTGTACTTTTTCGTCTTCTTTGGGTCTCAACAATTTGTAGTATCTCAGTCATGTGACAATGGCAGCAGCCTGCAATTATTATGCTAAAAGTAAAAAAATTCTATTCAATTAATAAGGCCCACCGAATTAATTAATGCCGAAATGCAAAAGTTTACAGTGTCAATATTTAAATTTAAAATTCTAGTTTTATTTAGATAAATGTCTTAATCGTCAAATTTGTTTTTTATTTTTTTGTGTGAGAATTTTGTTGGGAAAATATTTGAGAAGAAGGAAAGAAGTAATTAAGGAGCCGACAAGGAGAGGCAAAGCGTTATGGGACAAAAAAAGAGACCACATACGGACGTAACGTATGTTTTTTTTTTCTGGTAGGAAGTACTATAAAAGCGTACGTACGATGATAAATTAAAGAGACGGTACGACCCGACCCACCGACGATATAAAGAGACGGTATTAATGCAACACCCTCTCACGTACCCCCTCAGTTTCTTGTCACAGTCTCACTCTCTACCTATATTTTTATACGGATTACGGTGGGAGGTGGGTGGACGTTGTACAGTTGGCAAGGCAAAGAGTGTAAAAATCACTCAGTTAAATGATCATCCAAAAAATATATTATGTAATAAAATTCTAATTTTGGATAAAAGAAAGAATTCATCATTTTCAGTATTTAAAGTGATATGTTATAAATTTGGATATAATGTTATTTTATATCAATAAGATATAAATATTTTTTTAAGTCGTTAGAAAAAATTGAAAGGAATTGCAAGAAATGGAAAGAATTTGAAAAAACAGAAAGGAGCTAGAAGAAGCTGAAAGTTTCAACCCAAAAGAGAATAACCTTATGATGGGTTGTTACCTGCCGGGCAGTCCAACCTGTGTGCCCAGATGTGTTTTGGGACCCGCGGGTATTTGAAAGTTAGTATCAGGCCAGCCCAAGGCTTCGGGCCTGAGCTGACCCGAACCAAAGAGCCGTTGGAAGTCCGCCTGTTGAGAAACAGACCGCAGCTAGGCTGCGGAGAAAGAGCCGGAGAAATAGGATCGCGCAAATCACGGGAATTAGCTTCCATAATCGATAGTTACCTTAGTTATGTAAAGGGATATGTATAAATAGAGAGGATCGGAACAAGGATCATCAAGTAAAATCTAGCGTAAAATTTTGTAATTCTGTTAGAATATAAGAAACATTTCTTGGGCCACAACCACAAGCTTGAGCTTTTGGTTGAGTTGGTTCCTTGACATGGTATCGGAGCCTTGTCGATTAAGAGGTCACGGGTTCGAAACTCAGCGCCACTCAGTTTTTAAAAAAATTAAGGTTTCACGTGCAAGGCTAAAAAAAACTACGCGTGCACGTGAGGGGGCGTGTTAGAATATAAGAAATATTTCTTGGGCCACAACCACAATCTTGAGCTTTTGATTGAGTTGGTTCCTTGACATTCTCGAGTTCTTGAATCAATATTATTCTTACGATCCGCCCATCGAGTCGGATCATTCTGGTGGAATTCTTGTCCATCACCTTAATACAAGAAATAATCAAGATAAGTGATACAAGGAGTAAGGTAGGGTTATACATTGGTTCAGGGAATTAACCAGAATTGGGAAAAACGAAAAAAATGGAATCTTGGTCTAACTAAATTATTAGACCGGGATTTGGTTAACCTTGGTCTGAACTAGTTGAACTAAATTATTCCGATTCAGTCCGTGTTAGGACTATTCAAATCCCCAATCGAGAAATCGAAGAAAAAAAATACAGAAATAATAATGGAGTTGCATGTGAGTGCAATTTTCATTTTTTAGCTAAGTTATTAATTAAGAAAAACACATAATGATACTAATCTCAAAACTCACGTAATGAAATGAACTTATCTAAAAAAATCACTCGTCATTATTAATAAGATTCTATCGGTCTAACCTAAGATTTCCGTTTTGGGCCGAAATGAAACAATACCGAGGAGGGGTAAGTTAGACCAATTCAATTGGAGCATCTATTGTGCTCCGATCGTAAAATTTATTGTTCTACCCTTCCTAATCTCCCGGTAAACCCCCTACCCGCCCCGTCTCTGACGTGCACTGCAATTCTGCCAATTTTATTATATCAAATTTGGGTCTAAAATTTGATTCGAAAGTCAACAAAATTTGGTGCAATGAAATTGGTGGCGAACGGGTGGGTTGAGGATGGCGCAGGCTAAGAAGGTTTATCGGAGGATTAAGAAAGGTAGGAATAACCAATTTTATGATCGGAGCATCATAGTTGCTCTATTTAAATTGGTGTAACGGTTTTACACCAATAAAATGGTACTCTGAGGTATAAGATTGCCCCTCCTCAACAATACTTTATCGGTATCAAACTTAAGGATATAGACCCAAATTAGTCATAATATGATACATTTTAGAATTGATTATTCTAGTCAGGTTTACCCCTACAATCCGAAATTTGTACACCTCTAACAAGGAGTGTAAAAATATAAGAGTAATGCACCAGATGATATACCCTATTTGTATACCATACATTCTAACCATACATTTTTTGTTATTATGTCAACATTAATTGTATGGTGGAGATGATTTGGGGTTTTGGGATACACTTGGGTACACATTCTAATCTACCCCTAGCATTTTTGAAAATATGAATGGGTGTAGATTAGGAGTTTAGATTAGATCGCTTATTTTAATTTATGATGTTTGACTAAAATTATTTTCAATACAACTTATTTGAAAATTGAATCGCGACTAAAAACTAAAATCCACATACGGAGTATCAAAAACTACATCAAAAGTTCTACGAAAGAGAAGTGACATGACTGTGTTATTTATCAAATTAGTAAAAAAATAAGGATACAAAGTTAATGAAATTTGACCATATGAATAATAACATGCAATTTAATTTGAGACGGAGAGAGTATAAGAAGTGGTATTTGTCTCGTATGCATAAGAGTGCCATGCCAAGCATGATCATTCTTTATTGTCATTGCCAAAAGTCGAAGCATTCTCTTTTGAACGGCTTCAAAAATTATTTTGGAGCTAGAATAGTACTCCCTCCGTCCCAAATTATTTGCCACATTTGTATTCCCGAGGCAAAACATCAGGTTTTTTCAATTCATTTTATTTACATATTGGTATAAAAATAAAAAATAAAATTTACATTTAAAAAAACTACATGAAAAGTTCTTCGAAATAAGAGGTGTCAAGAATATTTTATTTTATCAAATAACCAATGAAAACGAAATAAACAAAAGTTCCCGCGACTGCTGAAAAAGCAAATGTTGTGAATATTTAGGGACGGAGGAAGTATATTTAGACAGAGGGAGCATTTGTTTAAAAATATACTTAAAAATAATGATATTACTGGCTTCTCTGGTTAAATAAGAATTGAAAAACAAGAATAAGCCCAATACAATCCAACAGAAATAAGCCCAATTGAACCCCACAGGAACAGGAACAGAGCCTGGAGAATGGGGAGGGTATATATATATATATATATATGGCAGACATTCCTATTTGAAAGTAAAGAGACTATTTCCATTCATTCATTCATTGATATCCATAATAGATAAACACCAGTCAAAATAGAAGATTAAAAGTTAAAAACCCCAATGTTAAGATGTTTTGTAATTACACTTATTAATGACATAGGACTACTTTTAGACAGCAAGCGGCCGAAGCTCAACCCATGGCATATTTCTGGGTCCAAGCTCTAGCAGTAGCCTCGTACTTGGCTCGGTCCCTCTTGTACATCTCAGCAATCTCAGGCACTAACGGATCGTCCGGATTTGGATCAGTGAGGAGGGAGCAGATTGAGAGCAGCACCTGCCAAAATCATTATTACACGCCATTACAGATTGTTGTTATTCTTAAAATGGAGACTAAACTAATAAACTTGTTTGGAAATGATATATGACAGTGATAATCAATTACCTTTGATATGGTAAGTGCCGGACTCCATTGCTCTTTGAGGATGTCGAGACAAATGCTGCCATTGCTGTTGATGTTTGGATGGTAGACTTTGGTTTTGAAGCAGACCTACAACAGAGATGATGGGATCAGAAGTATATGATCGGGTTGGTTTGGGTCCCTTAAAAGAATGAGTTAATCCTAGATATGGCAGGCAAACTAAGTATAATGCAGAACTAAGCCTTTGGTGTGGAGGATAAACAGAGAAAACAAGTAAGAGTGCATAGAAAAAGAATTACTCTGTATGTGAGAAAGGCTAGAATTTATTTATTATTTGGTAGGAAAAAAATAGAGAAAGAAGTGTAAGCATTGTCTAAAAAGACAAAGTACCATCAGTTTGAAAATTGTGTGAGAAACTAGGATACAAATAGGAAAAATAGAAATAGAAAAGCCTTCGGTTGCGTTTTGCTTTGAAAGAGGGAGAAGAGCTAAAAATGGAGATGCTCTCATTTCTTGCATACCAAACCATTAAAATGACTCAAATATCTCCAACAAGAGAAATACTGGATACATGAATGATGAACTATTTTAGTCTGTTTCAACTGTAAAGGCCAAAAGCAATGCATGCTCATACAACTATGCAAAAACACAAAAATTTATCACTTCAGCAGGCATATTCCAACAATTCTCTGTTTATGTGTGTTAAACCAACTTAAGCCCAAAGAGAAAAGAAATGCAGTACGAATGTCTAAATACAATTAAAGATTCACTCAAACTTTAAAATCGTTCATGACTCAATCTCACCTAATAGGCTAAGACTCTAGCAGAGTCGAATCATTGAGCCTGAAACAGCTACAATATGCAGAAAAGGATAATCCGGGTGATAAAAGTATGCATCAACAATAAATTAAAATATCAAAACACAAAGCACACAAAAATTTGAAATCCATACTGAAGCTAACTAAGGACAGCATTACAAAAGGACTATGGAATCAAACAGAATTCTGCTTAAATTACATTACGTCTACCTTGGGTGGCTTGAAGGGATAATCTGGTGGATAGTGAATAGTAATTTGAAATATTCCTCCTGCAAATGGACTGTCAGCTGGACCCATAATAGTAGCTTGCCAGTGGAACATATCTTCACCAACAGGCCCTTAAAGAAGCCAATCATGGTTACAAAATCAAATAAATGAATGTGAAAAAATGACAGCATTGTCTAGAGGTCTCCAACATTCTGTTAAATAAAATAACCAGCCAATACACTCAAACTTCCCAACCAATATTCTTGTATGAAATTGTAGAAAAAGAACATTCATCAACCCTGCCTAATAAAACAATGCGCATCCTATATGCTCAGATATGCTACAGAAGAATAATACATCAATTGCTAGACCATAGCCCTGATTGAGGTTTGTTTGACTTTCTCCCACCTATACACACAATTAAAGGTCAAACCAAAATACCATATAATGGTCCAACACATAAGATTTTCCAACAAGATCAAAACCTAGTGAATACTAATACAGTATTAGACTACTTTGCATGTTATTCTGATCCATATAGAAACAAACAAAATGGAGAAAATATGAAGTATCGGAATCAAAATGAAACTGTGAAGCACATAAATTATACTCCCTCCGTCCCAGAGTATTTGTCCATTGTCATTTCTACACACCATCCAATACACTTCTTTAATCCATTTTATCTTGTAATTTGTATATTAAAAAATTATAGAAATTATATATTAATAATCTATATGTTAAGACAAATCAAACAAGATCACACATGACTATATTTAGGCTTACACATTTAGAGAATTTGATGAGTCAAAGTGCTTAGATGAACAGTTCCAAAAGTCAAAAGTGGACGAATATAGCGGGACGGAGGGAGTAAAGCGCTAAAACAAATAACACCACAGATGACAAGATAACAAACCAGCACTGCATGAAGTTGGCGGGTCCTTCTGCAGATCTTTTAGTTCCTTCTGAATCCTCTTTGAAGCCATAGCTGGTGGTGTAAAAAGCACTGAGAATATTCATTAATAGTTACTACAAATAAAACCAAGTGAACACGAGATGAAAAGTGAACAGCCTTTGTACAAAACTTAAGCAGATACACAGAATCATACAAAATGTTACACAACAAAACTATAAAAGTCAGAAGACCTCTATGTGAATGCACTTTATGTTTCTAGTTTCTACACCCACCAAGCCATATAAATTAGATCCAACCCACCATAAGAGCGACATTTTAATAAGTTAATGCACAAGTAACTATATTGAGTTACTGGAAGTCTTGCATAGAAGCTTGCAGAGTAGTTTCACACAGATTAATCTTCTCATAACATCTCAAAACCAGAACTACAATACTCTCTTCTTTTTTTAAGTGAGGTACTCATGTAAACCCGCACAATCCATACCCAAAAGGCGAAAACCCCTAAAACGTGAGGTTATAGTGATCCACTACATACCCCATGCAAAGATCGAGTGAAATTCCAACACATACTTGCTTTAAAATCACATTGCATAACATATAGAGCGTAGATCCTTCTACATTACTCAAACCCTTCCCAAAACCGTAAATCTACTCATTCCTCCCCAAAATCTCAAATTCAGAACTGAGCATCTGACCCTCGAAAGTATTATAAACAAAGAAATACATGCAGGAAAACAAATAATCATAATATTCAGAGCAGATTGAAAGCGACCGAGCAACAAAGGTCGAAACTATCCATAACTGGAAATGTTATCTCGTATGCACAAACAAACAAACAAACAAAATTGCTACTTTTCTATATGTGAACGAACGATCGATAGGAAAACAAGATGCGGAAGTAATAAGAAGAATCAAACAAAACAAAAAACGATGGGAGAAAAAGGGATAGAACAGACGAACCCTAGAAGCTTTTCGAGTAAAATCTGTTGGGAAGCTTTGCAGGAGGCCGAAAGCGTGACTGAAAGATGGACGAAGGCTGGGTGACTTTTTATAGTGGGGCGCGTGGGCGACTGCGCGGTGGAGTAAATAAATGTCACCTGTCTTTAGGCATGGCTTGATTTTTTTTAATGTGTGTAAATATATTTTAAATGTTTACATTTATATTTTTTTATTTTATATTGACACAAAATGTGGGTGACTGGGTGCAATTTCAAAATTTTATATTGATATTTTATGGCTCTGTTTGGTATCAGCGTTAGTGATTAGCGTTGGCGTTTTGAAAAGGCTATCTGACAGTAGCATTTAGCGTCAGCATTTCTAAAATTAATTTACATCATTAAGATTTTATCTAAAATGCTAGCGCTAATCGAAAACGATGTTTTCAAACAAGTCCTATGTCAATATAAGTCATTAATCTCGCATTTATATTACCACAAAATGTAATTATAGATCTTTGAAGTACATTTAAAGATACAATATTTGAGGTAGAAATAGATTTATCTTTTTTTGTTCTAAATGAAAAACTTAAATCAAGCTAACAAAGTTGATTCGATAAGGTTTCTAGAAGAAATTCGAACAATTGGTTGGTAATTTTTTTTTGAAATCAATTGGTTGGTAATTTGATCTCATGTGGTTGAATGCTTCTATCATGAACCTACGACCTACACTTTATTTTTTTTTGTAATTTTCTCATACTAATTTTTATTCTTTCGAATTTTTTGTATCTTTATTTTTTTATTTTTGGTTGAAAAAAAAAGAGTTTAGAAACAAGTCTATTCTCATCTCTAAGTTCACAAAAAAATTGTGAAATAAGCCTTGGAACCACTACAACATTCATTTGTTACGTACTTCTCTTCTTACTTGAGCAAGAGAAGGTCTGCTCTCCAAGATTTATAGAGAAGTTCACTCAAGTTCGAGTTTCAGCGTAAGCGGAGCTGTTGACTTTTTATACATCATTATATTAAAAAAAGGCATACAAACAGATACTACAGTGCAATTGAGTCAATAATGCTAAAGAAACATAACATTTGTTACGTTAGGATTAAAGAAATCTCCTTAAATAAGAATAAAAATGTATGAAAATACTAAAATAGGAATCCTAAGTCTTTTTGGACTAAAATAGGAGTATAATGACAGTGTGGTATAAAAATACGTGTCGACAGTGTGATGAAAAAATGATGATAACGTGATTTGGTAGTGTGATTGGTCTACCCTCAATGATCTGCATCAGCACTCTAGAGGCTGATGATGACAAATGACAATAAAAGTGTGGCAATTGCAATATGACAATGTAGTGAGTGTGCCAGCGTAACACTAACAATGCCAACTTCTAATTTGGTTTTAAAAGAGTTAAAACTTCTATTTTAATATTTTTATAACTTTTTACTCTTGTGTAGAAAATTCTGGCATGGTTCTAGCTTGAAACAACTCTTAATTACCCTTCTAATATTTTTTTCCTCCAATTTCTTAAGATTAAAATTAAAGTCAAATATTAACGAGAGGCAAGTAAGAAAATGGATTTGGAAATGGGCACGGGGGGCACCACATCATCATCACATCACATGCACCCAAATCCAATTACCCGTCCGTCCATCTTTTATTTCTCCACCACCTTCTCTTTGTTTCTCTTCTTCTTCTTCCTCAGGCATTCTCAGCTTTTAATTTCGTATTTTATACCCATTTATTTATTTACGAGTTCTTCTCGGCAAAAAAATCTTCTCCGATCTCGGTTTCATTTTAGCCTGCAAATAAGTAAAAGCTTTTCACGGAGAAACCAGGCCCGGGCTTAATTCTCTTCTGCCTCTTTGGTTCAGCTGAGGTCAGTGAATTCTGTTAGCGCTCTGTGATCATGTAGAACGAGATTTATTTAGTTTTTTAATTTGTGAATGATCCCCAGATTGTCATGTTCGATTGTTTTTAGTGTTTTTTTTAAACAAATATTCGATCAATCTGTAAGTGTTCATCCAATTCCTCCATTTAATATGATGCATTTTAGGTGCTGTTCTTAACAAATCTGTTAAATTTTGGTCCAAACCCAACAGTATCATATTCATTCATTTCTTGGATCAATATATATACCTGTTCACCCGATTTCAGACTGGTCTTTTTGTAAGGAAGTGCCCAAATAAAATCTCATTAGTACCTTTTTTTACACTAGAGCTTGGTCCAAGGCTAATAATGTCATACTATTGGGGAATGGGGAGAGGGTGACATGGTCTTGGGTGATATAATCACAACTCTGTTGGAGAATAGCATCTAAATGTACGTAATCTTACCTTGAATCGGTTGATGCGTTGCATAATTTACTACCAAAAGTTTATAGAAAGTTTTAGGCTATGTTGCACGGATTCTTCAAATAGGTTCCGCTTCACGTCGCCGGAACGTCCCTAGTCGGGTACCTGAGAGCGTCCAAACACCCAAATCCTTTATAAATTACTCCGTATGAAAAAATTTGGCGCTTCAGACCTCGTCCGTGTCCCGTCTTGGTGCAACTTAGGTTTTAGGGAAATGAAGTTCAACGTGTTATTTTGATTTAATCTATTAATCAAAGTTTATTAACTCCCCTAGCTCCATTGGCAATGGACACTGGGTTACAATAGAAATACGGAGTATTTTTTTTTAAATAAAATTAAATGGATTTTTATGAATATTCGAGATAAGCAACAACAACCCAGTAGAACTGGGGTAGGGTTTGTGGAGGGTGTGTGGCTGTGTGTACGTAGACCTTACCCCTACTGGAAAGTAGAGAGACTGTTTCTAAGAAACCCCCCAGCTCGACGGCTCGAGTAAAGATTGAGAATATTTTGATTTTGTTTTATTTGCTCTGTTTTTTTGTGGCTCACACCACAGTGTATTCCATGTGATATTACAACGGCTTGAGTATCCACGCATCAAGTGTATCTAACTGGTCTGCCCGGTCATAATGAAGTGTCAATTGAAATTATTAAATACACACACGGCAAAAACAAATGCTGAAATGCAATTCTTGATGCGATATGACTTCATAATGACAATTAGAATGTGGGTTTAAGTTTGATAAAAGAGATACTACTACGGGGTATAATTCTCAGGGATAATGTTGTGTGCATCTTGACCACTAAGAACCCAACAGATTGATTATACTAGATCTATTGTTGCTTTTGCATTAGTCAATTTTCTTTAGTTACCTTGTTTTCTACATTTTGGTCATTACCTTTGTTTGAATATGTGTTTATGTCTGGCAATGAAGAATGGGAGGTGTAATTGGTAAGGATGAATCTCCAAGGGCCTACGTGTCCCAGACAAAACTTGAAGCCAGAGTAGTTGAGGCAATGCAGCGAAAAGCAAGGGACGGTAGCTCCATCAAGTCTTTTAATACTATAGTCTTGAAGTTTCCCAAAATTGATGAGAGCTTGCGGAAATGCAAAGCCACATTTCAAGAATTCGGTACAAATCTGCTTATTTCTATTCATTGCATAATACTCCGTACCTTTCAGAGAAGGAATATAAATATGTAAAGCAGCATTTACTGTTTCTAACAAGATATTTGTTTTGATTTTTTTTGGGTGCATAGACGAGGATGAAAACGGAGCTATAGATCACAAAGAGTTGAAGCACTGCTTTCGTAAGCTGGAGATAAGTTTCAGTGATGAAGAAATAGACGACTTGTTTGAAGCATGTGATATTAATAATGATATGGGAATGGAATTCCATGAATTCATTGTTCTTCTTTGCCTTGTTTACCTTCTCAAGGACAGTCCTGCACTTCATGGTGTATCCACATAACGACCCCCCCACCCCCACCCCCACCCCGTATTTATAAACAAATCATGGTATTCTACTTGTACTACATTTAAAATGTTTGATTCTTGACTCGTGTTTAGAAATCAAGGGTCGACATGCCAAATCTTGAGTCGGCATTTGAGACATTGGTAGACGCCTTTGTGTTCTTGGACAAGAACAAGGACGGTTGCGTGAGCAAGGATGAGATGGTTCAGGCAATAAATGAAAGCACCTATGGTGAACGATCTTCTGGCCGGATTGCCATGAAAAGATTTGGTGCTCCCCACTACCGTTCCTTATATATTTGTTTGTTTTACTTTACTATATAATGTGTTTTTACCGTCCATTGCCAATAGAGCTAAATGAGTGACTATTTAAAATGTTTTGACTTGAGGCACATAACGGATGACAAAATCATAAATGACACATTACACTTCTCTTCTTTCTTTTTATGAAGTTTTGGTCATTAGAGGCAAAGATGCATTTAAAGTCTAACAAATACAACCTCTTTTGTTTTACAGGACTAAGATTGACGCATTGGCGTTAGAATTATATTGGGTTGTTATTATTGTTGTCGTATATAATATGTTTCACGGTTACTAAAAATGCTTCCTGGTTTGCAGAAGAGATGGATTGGGACAAAAACGGAATGGTGAGCTTCAAAGAATTTCTATTCGCTTTCACCCGATGGGTGGGCATTGATGGTACTGATGAAGAAGAAGAAGAAGGAAATAATGTCTAGCTCGAGAATGCTTCTTTGTGCTCATTTGGCAAGCCAAAGCCCAAGTTCTCCATGGACGAATCGAAGACGCTCCCGAATGATAAGATCCACACTACACCACCACACCTATCCATCATCATATAATAAACACATGGATCGTTTAGGAGGCAAGTCGTAACCGCTCTTCGTTTCTTCTTACATGTAAAATTACGATGAATAGAATTTAAAATCCGAGATACATCCTCCTAGTACCTTTTTAGTTCAAAGCTCATAACATCGAAACATATATAGTACTTCATCCATCCTAGTGTACTTGTTCAGTTTGACATTTTTCAGTCAAACAGAATAAATTTTCACTATTAATTAAATAAAATTACATTGCTTTCGTTACATTTATCTTGGTCAAATGTTATAGAAAATTACAAAAATGTTAGGGAAAATATATTTTATTTGGAATATTTGATGCTCAGGAGGGTAAGGACATATTTCTCCATCCATTTGAAGACTTATATTTATTGAGTGAGCATTTGAAAATATGATATTTATGAAGAAGTGCAAATAAATTGCTACAAGAATTGCTTATTTTCTGGTCTGATCCCACTCTTCAAACCATCGGGTTCATGAGATCTTCAGAAGAAATATCCCACAACACACAGTCAGAGTGGAAAATTCCAGGCGGCGGCGCTTCTGCTGCCACCCCCTTTCCGCCATCCGAACACACTCCGTTTTCATCGTCCACAGCTTTCTCCGGCAGCCGCATATGATGTTCCCCCGGCGTGCACGTGCTTCCCGTGCACATGCTCTGGTTCCACGGCGACCCCTCCTCGGCGTCTTGCATGAGAAGGCCGCCGTACTGGTCAAATCCCCCGTGGTGATGATCGGCGGTTGCCAGAAAACCACCGCCGGCCTCTGGCATCGTGGCGGAAGTCTCGCCGCCGGCGAGATCCCAAGGCTTGTAATTCGAGGCCGGCTCCTTTATCGCCATCGACAGCCCGTATTTGATCTTCTCAATGGTTTCGTCTTTGTCTTCGTGCTTGACCGGCGGGGCGGCGGTGGCCGGGTGGAGCTGGAACCCAATGCGCTTCTTGGTTAGAAGGTGCAACATCTCATCCTTGAAGCACCCCAGTGCCGCCTCCGCCAGATGAGGGACTTGCGGTGGTGCTAGCGTGTTGGCAATCTCTGTTATCAGGTGAGAAAAGGGCTTGTGCGTCACAGGGTCGATTCCCATCCCCGACAGCTTCTTTCTCAGCTTCGTGTTCCAGTGATTCTTCACATCATTGTCTGTTCGCCCCGGCAGCTGTGCCGCTATCACCGACCATCTATAACAGGTATACACTTTTTAGTGGAAACAAAAGTGAGAGTATCTCTACGAGTGAGCATTCTTTTTAAAAGAAAAATGAATATTTGTTTGCTCACATTTTACACATTTTATGTCAAAGAATAGAGTTATCAAAAGTTTAAGTTTGTTGTTTTAATACTTTGAAAATTCACATACTTCAAAATTTCATTCGGGAAGTAAGAATTACCGGTTTCCAAGAACAGAGTGTAGAGTGACGATAGTTTGTTCTTCTGCATCGGAGAATTGGCCGTGCTTAAGGTCTGGTCGGAGGTAGTTCGTCCAACGTAGCCTGCAGCTCTTCCCACATCTCTGCAAACCTGTAAGAACACACACGGTTTAAAAAGTTAATGACAACATTATTAGTTACAGAGCATTACTTTATTCTTTCTGGGACGGGTACTCATAGGGGTCGAAAACTAGGAAACACTAATTTTGGGATAATAGCATGAGTGCCCATGTGATTTACAAAAGGAGTGCCAAAACTCCCTCTACTTTCAAAAGTTATTTGTAAAATCTCTGTGGTTTTTAAATAGTGCTCAAACACCCCCCTTCTTGCCTATTTTACACATGAAATGACATTTCTGCCCTTGGTTTTTCTCTATCTTCAAATTTCACTCTTTTCTTTACATTTTTTGTCATACATATAAATAAAATAAAATATACACCCTCTTTTCTAAAATAAAATTTTTTATTTATTTAATTTTCAAAAAAAAAAATTTTTTTTAGAAAATGTTACAAAAATGAAATAAAATATACTTCTTCATTATAAGTAAAAGTAAAATAAATAAAATAAAAATTGGATAACATATACTCACTCTATCTCTAATTAAAAATTCTAACTTATTTGTTGTTTAAAAGTAAAATAATTTTTTAAGGACTTTAAAAAAATGAAGAACAGAAAGATGAAATAAAATATGAAGTTAAAGAAAAACAATATTTTTTATATTTTTATTTCTTTTCATTACCTTTTTTAACTATTATTACTTTTTACTTTGTACATAATATTTTATTTTTCATTTTTTTGTAACATTCTCCAAAAAATCTTTTGTTTTCAAAAGTACATTATAAAAAATTCTAATTTGAGATGGGAAGCATATATTTTATTTTATATATTTGTATAATAAAGGTAATTGAAATGGGAAAACTTCAAGATCGGGGAAAACAAAAGGCATAAATGTCATTTTTGCTTTAAAAATAGGTAAGGGGGGCATGTGTGCTCTATTTAGAAACCACAGAGACTTTACAAATAAATTTTGAAAACAGAGGGAGTTTTGTCGCCCTTTTTGTAAACCGCAGGGGCGCCCATGCTATTAACCCCACTAATTTTACCAAATTTCACATAGGGTTATAATGTCCCTAGGTATGTAAATGGGAACAAATTGGGGACCGAAAGTGACATTTATTGAATAACCCGTGCAACATAGGTAGAAACATAACATGGAAAAGGGGGAGAGGAGGAGGGGAAAATCCTACCGGCATGTTTGGGAATGAGACGCCAGTTACGGGTCCCGTGCTGAGCAATGTAAGAAGAGAGCTTGTGATCTTCCTCGGGAGTCCATTGCCCTCTCTTCACGTTCTCCTTCTCGCAGCACGGAATTCGTCCCATTCTTATGTATGGAAGGAAGGGGTTTTGATGCGTGAATCTAGAGATTAAGGTCTTGTTTGGTGACGGCGGATTAAATATGGTAGGAGAAGGAAATAACCTATGCAGAAAAGATGACAGAAAAAGATAGTAGTGGTAGTAGTTTATGAAACAAAAATTACAGTAACTATAATCTATTGGTGAGTTTTCTTGGTACTGGTGGTACAGTGGAAGGTGTAAATATATTTTATATATACAGAGAGAAATGGAGATGGAAGTGGCCATGGCACAAAAAGCATCACTTCTGCATGAGTACATTATAAAATTCAAACTCTGTTTGGGCGTGTGAAATTGGTTTGGTAGCTCACTCACAAGACACCCCTGGTCAAACTCTCTCTCTCTCTCTCTCTCTCATGTGTGTGTGTGTGTGTTTATAGTTTGACTATTTGCAGTTAACAGAGAGAAATGGGTGGCTGACCAATGTGGTCTTTGTGCTGGGTTTCGACTGTTAAGGTTGTTCTTGCACGAGTGGATCTCACACCATCATTGTCATTATAAATTTATAGTGCTAGTAGTAGTTATTATGGGACCAAACCGTACAGAACATACCCTACAAGACTGGTTTGGGACCTTACCTTTGTTTGAAAGAAGCAGGTAACAGAAATTGTTTCTGACATATAGTTTAATTTCTATAAAATAAATCCCAAGTTTTCTCCGGAATAATTTTTATCCTAAAAAAGAATGAAAATTTTATTTTGAGACATCCGAGTTAGAAGATGATTTCAAAACGAGGTAGGTACTCTACTAAATCCAACTTTTGTGTTATATAAAAAGTTGAATGCCGGAGGTCTTGTGGTTTAGTGGTATCGCCGTGTGCCCGTGGCTCTTCCAAATAAGAGGTCACATGTTCAAAAAGATTGACTCTTTGTTCTTGTTGATAAATTATATAGAGTTAAGTTCTAAAAAAGTTGAATGAATAGAGACATACATCATATCTACATTCATTTGACTTTTACACTATGTTTGGTTCAATGAATTCAGAAGGGAAAAAAAGGAAATGATTTTCTCTCATTTTCCTCACCAAAATGGGAGGATTTTGGTTTTCCCTCCACTTAGTACATTTTGTCTTCACATTTTCTTTTCCTTCCACTTTTCCTTTCTTTTCCTCTCTAACCAAACAAGAAAAATTGTTTTCCACTTTACTTTCATTTCTTTTTCCTTTCAAATTCCTTGAACCAAACATAGTACAGAGTATTAATTTATCACAAAAGTAATGTGAGTTATATGTGAATGGGGCATGTTAGGTTGGAGAGACGTTAGAGCCTCCTAAAAAAACAAATGTTATTCAATCTGCATTACGAAGTTTTCCTCCAAGACTGTCAGGTTTGAATTTTACTCACCCTTTTGAGCAACACTCTCTTCACATCTGCCACCAACCTTAATTTCCCCCCCAAAAAAACAAAACTCACAACAATAATCATAAGAACATTGCAATTTCAGTCCAATGGCCTAGCCAAAAGTTACACAACCTCATACAATGTATTATAAAATGTAATATGAGTTTTCAGCCAATTATATGTTACAGCAGTTCATCAAAGAAAAAAACTCATGCTATGTATGTGCAACGAAAGCAAAATCAAATTCCACGTTAAAAAACTATGTATTACATTTATAGTCAACACAATATCAGACAATGAAGAGCGTAAATGTGTAACTATAATATCAACAAACCCAGTAAAATTCTAGAAAAATAGGGTAGGAGGATGTGCATACACAAACTTTACTCTTACTAGGAAGTAGATGTGACCAAGTAGTGACCTCCTAGCTGAACCTGGCAAGGATCAATCCTCGGATGGAACCAACAAAGGCAAATAGGATGATAACCAAGCATAGGTATGTGTATATACGAAGAGCGGTCTTCTTGCATGTCCAAAATTCAATCTCTTTCTGCTTTAGGTACATCTCAACAGGGAAGTACACGACTATAGGCCAAAAGTTGACTGCTCCTGCTACCCCCACAACCTGGTTGAAGTAAGGGAATAGTATCGCAATCCCAGTTACTGCAGCAACATATGCAGTTCTAAAAACCACTCTCATGAAGTTAATCTGAAATGCTGGAAAGTAGTTTAGTTTTAGAACATAGTTCCTCTGTACAAATTGACTCTCTGGGTATTTCTTCCCTAGCCATCTCTCTACATTTGCATACAATGGCTGGCTGAACACCTGCGAATATCAGCATTCCCATCAAATCTAAATATCTTCCAAACCTGTGTATTGCTGGTGGGAATGTAAGATTGTAGTTGTATTTTGGTAGAGTGCAGATGGGTAGAGGTTAACCTAGGAAGAGTTGGATGGAGTTGTTTAGACAAGATTTACAACTCCACGATGTCACCGAGGATATGACCTTAGATAGGAATGCCGAGAGAGATCTAGTATCCGAGTAAATGGGTGGACCTAGGAGTCTTACGTTATTTTTTGGTTGGTGTGTCTTTGTGGCTTTGGGTCTTGTTGTTTGATTCGGTATGTATACTTATATTTCAATAGTGCTATTGTGGCTTTGCTCGCCTGTACTTTTGTATTTGAATCAGGGTTCTCTTGGAAACGGCCTCTCTACCTCTAAGTAGGGTTAAGTTTTGCGTATACTCACCTTCCCCAGACCTTATTTTGTGTGAGATTTTACCGGGTTTCATCTTTCATTAGATATACATTCATTGTGACTTACCATTTACCAAACTTTCACCTTAGTACCTGATATCCTCCAACAAGGTGAAGAGCAACACATGCATTAGCAAAGTTGACGAGCCAATAAGGCTCGTAAAAACCAAATCCTGTTAAGAGGTTCCCGGGCGTTGCATTGCCAAATGCTGCATAACCCAATCCTCCGCAACATAGGTAGAAAAATGTGGTGGTGCAGACTGCCATTATTGAGGCCTTCTTCATGGTCGCCTTTTCTAAAGGCTCTTTCAACGTATCCTTCATAAAAGTTCAAACTTTTATTAGATTGCCACATTTCATTCGCTATATCTTTGAATGTGAACCCTTGCTGCACCTGTATCTCTAGAAAAATGACAGAGAATGGGAAGGCAAAGGCAATGTTTCCAAGTGCTTCTGAAACTGACCATAGTTTTTTGCCTAGATTAGGAGAAGGCAACCCTCCAATGCTACCCTTTATTTCTCCATTATCTGCAAATTCCATTTCATGAAGTGGATTCTTAGGGTATGTTTGGATCAACTCCATCAACAATAAAGTATTTCAAAGTGCGGTTAATTACTACCTATTACTTTAGCTAAGCTGAGTCCTGATCCAATGAATGAATATGTGAAAGACATGATTGCAGCAACAATGGAGAGCCATTGCGTGTTGCGAAAGTCTGGAATTTGAGACACTAGTGCTTGGATTGATCCAAATATAATCATATATTTCGTGTTTAAATACCCACAAGTAGCCTCATGGCCTTCATAATGATAGCAGTTTGCTTTCTGAATTGCTCTGCAATCAAGAACCTCTTTATCCAATGGCAGAATATATAATAGTCCCAAGGGAGAAGAATCATTCTCAGTTGTTTACAGACCTGATGCTAATAGCAGAAGTGATTGTGTACACAATTCCAAGCTTGATGAAATTGATCCCAACAATGATGCCGCAAAACCAGGCGCTTCTATTTCCTGCCCCACGCACAGTAAAATCTTTCATTCGTTCAACAAATGAACGAATTCACTAAATATTCATTCAGATTAATTAAAAAAAAGAACAATCTGTCCAAGCTAGCACAAAGAAGAATCTGAAATCATCAAGACATGCGATAAACTATAGAACCAAAGCAACATTTTACGAAATGGGATCTAATGGTTTTGCAGGAGTCTGTGTTTTTACCTAGGATGGAGCGGACAGCATCAAGGTAAGAGCCATGGGTGTGGAGGTCAGAATCAGTGGGTCGGTGGCAGTTGGAGAGAAGAAGAGCACTGGTGAGAGTGACCGCAGCAAAACACAGCATTGTTATCGGACCGGCGATCCATCCCAGCTTTGACATGCTCCATGCCAAGGAAAGAACACCTGACCCTATCACTGCTGTTATTATGTGCGCCAAAGCTGTCCATTCATTCCCTGTTTTCTCAGCCATGGCATCTGAAATTCTTCTTCTGGTGTGAGCAAGAAGACTCACTGCGCCATCTGCACAAAGTCTTCCATTCTCAGCCACATCCTAATTAATTAGTAATTTTTGACAAAAAAAGGTGTCTTCTTTGCTGGGAAAAGAAAAAGATTTTGCTAGTTTAGGACGGTGACGGGCATTTCGGTTCAAGAAAACTGAAAAAAGGTGTCATCTTTATCAATACTTGTGCTGAATAAAATCAAGAAAAGTTACCAGTTCTCTTCTTGTTGGGATCTTCAGGTAGAAACAGTGGTTCTTGAAAAGTATACATCTGGGTAGTTAGTAGTAGCAAGTATTGGTAGTATAAGTAACTTTGTCTTCTTCTTCTTCTCCATTAGCTCGGCCATGGCCATGGCTGAACTGCACATTGTGCACAGACTTGATGCATGCCGGGTTTCTTGGAAACTTTTGGTGCAGAGAAAATTCAACCATGGCGGGTAGAGATGGGAGAGAGATCTGTCGTCTGTCATTAATCATCTACTCTAAAACTGTTACAATTTTTGTACGGATTACAACGGACGGGGAAGATGAACGGCCCCGGAAAATAAAATAAATAAAATTCTGAATTTATAACTTATTCAGAATATTACAAAATAAACAAAGTTGAAAATAAATTTCTATATCTTCAAACGGCCTTATTCTATGAGGACATTAAGCACTGAACAGCGAGGACGTTATGCACTGGGCTGCGAGGACATTATGCACTGGAAATCAAGGACAGCGGAGTCGCCGGAGCTGTCCTTAAGGTAGTAGTGCCCGCCTACCGTACCGGAAAAACGTGAGCACTCTCCTCCCAGGATAAAACCGCTATCGTGTGTGGAGATTATACGGACCAACCACACACCAACGAACAAGAACAACGTAGGAACGTTGGCGACCAAAAAACTTTGAAGGGAATTGCCGGAAAGTTGGCCGGAAAATCAAGAGCTCTCTCTATAAAAACAATGAAGTACTTTTCCTTTCTTTTTTCCTTCCTCGCGTATGAAACAACCACCACACAAGAGAATGGAGAGAGCCTTTGATTTTATAACTAAACCAATTAAAAATGTAACTCCTACACCATTAATCCATGGCATTTGTGGCACACTTAATACCGTATTAATGGTGATTAATTAGCCATTAACACGTCCGTTACGCTACGCTCCGTTTAAAATTTGTCCCGAATAATTGAAGATTAATGACCAGTTAACTCTGTAAGAATGGACTAATTTTAAACAATACGTAAAATTAATAAAAGAAGATTGGTTCAGTAAAATTGTAAAAATTGCAATCCTCACCATATTCTTTTATTAACGGGTTAACTCTGAGAATCAATTTCTCATTCACCCTCTACCATTTTTGGCGTAATATTTGTCAAAACATTTATCTCATTTAAGAGAAAACACGTCCATTAATTAACGGTTAAAACTGTTAGTGGACCTATTGACAAATATACCCAAGTTGGTCCATTTAATGCCTATTAAAAATGTCAAAAATTCCAACAAAAACTGCCCTGTGTCGCTTTCCCTAGCCTACCTCTACCCAACATTTGCCCTTTGACCCTGAAAAGGCAACCGACGAAGAGAAATGGGAAGGAAATAGACAAATTTTCATTGTGTGATTGCATGAAAATTAAAACAATCATACTAGGGTACACCAAAAGTGTATAAAAAAATGCACCGAAATTTAACTGTTCACACTCACAAAAAATATTAGTTTAATTAAAATAGTTTGCACTGACATTTTTTGTTAATGTAAATCATCACATTAAAATGCATTAACATTACCAATCATGACCATGTATATTGCCAAAAGATATAATAAAATGAATATTTCCCACTCACTTGTGGAGTGAAATCAAAGGGAAGTTTATTTTTTGTGTTCCTTTTCTTTATGTCTCCAATCTCACTAAAAAAGAGAAAGCAACTAAAAGAACTAAACAAAAAAATCAAAAACAAAAAAAAAACAAAAAACAAAAGAAATACCGAGTAAACAAAGAAAAAAACCCGATGCCAAGGTGACAATGACACCTCAGCTCACGGAAGTGCTCCATGAGGCATTACGGACGGTCTAACCAAACAAAATAATTTAACCGCTCTTTCTAATATGGGTTGCATGAGGGGTGCACCAACATTTGTACACCATTTTCTCCACCAAGTGTATCACAAAGAGATATAGATAAAATTTGTCTATGCATCACACAAACAGTTGTTGTCTGTGTGTCTGTTATACATTTAGTCTACAAGTCTTATGTACAAAGTTTTATTGCTCTCATATTTATTCCTTTAAGTTTTCTTTTAATCAAAGAACCTAATGAAAGTTAAACACTTAAGCTTCCACTTCATTTTATACAGTACAATTTTAGTACTCCATAAAAAAGATCACTAAAATCTCAAAGAATGCTTTATGGAACTTTATGGAAATTACCGTTGGCCCTAAAAAAATTCATGCATTTCTTTATCAAATAAAAAATGATCCAAACTTATTGTAACTTTACATAATCAAATTATCGGAGCCTGACCGAACCAATTTGCCAGTCGTACTATGAAGTGATCCTTTATTACTATTACTCCGTATTCCATTACTTGAGGGGGATTATAATGAAAAATTCAATATTTATCACATTTCTTAACTTATTCTTTTATTTAGGACAAACTATTTTAGGACGAAAGACAACATGACATAATTATACGAGCATGTGCTCTTTGTTTGATCTTATTAGTTCTGATATGAATATATTAAAATCTAATTAGTTACTCCCTCTGTCCTAAAATGTTCTTCCCACTTCCCCTTTTTTTCTGTTCTAAAACTACCTTCCCATTAAAAAAAAAGATGACAAATGACATTAATACCTTCATGTATTTACACCAATTATCTTTTAACTCTATATTTTGAATGATAGCAAAAGAAAATTTCAAAAAATCTTTTTTAAGGAGGGTAAAATTTGAAGTCAAAGCCAAAAATTAAAAATGGGGAAAAGTCAAACTGAGAAGAACATTTTAGGACGGATGGAGTAATATTTTTTTTTATCTAATCTTATTTTTTATTGGGTTGGGCCCTAAGAAGTCCGGTCCACAAGACAAGGATCAAAGAAAAGCACCCGCGCGGCGAGAAGCCCACAACCCTAAACGAGTTACCGGCTGCGAAGACTCACTCAATCACGGCCCAGATCCGAGCTGACACGTCGCCATTGTTGCTCTTATAGGCTTTGCCTATCCAGATATCATCATTCGCCGTCGTCGTCACCTTCCGCATCTACGGCTCCGGCTCCGGCGCATCTTCATCGGCAGAGCCATGCTCTATAATCACGGCAGTAATAGTTACTCCTCTGGGACCGCCAGATATTCTACCTCCGCCGCCGCCGAACTAGCTTCTCAGACATCGTGGTCCGGACCACCTGGCGTTGATATTGGACCAGGTGCTGCTGACCCATTCATGTCCGGGCTAAAGCGCCCTTCGAGCGAAGGTCTGGCTCTTTACCTCCACAGCCCTCCCCCCGATTGCCTTGTTCAATTCTGTATGATATCAAGTTGCTCTTTACCACGCGGTGAAGTGATCTATCTGATTGTCAACCTCTAGGGATTTTGAATTTTCCAGTTGCTCATAGTAGTCCTAAAATTGATTAATGCAAGCCTCGTTTTAGCATCCCTGCGGCAATTTAGCTATAACTTTTTCATCATCTTTAACTTCATGAACAAAATTGATTTGATTCAGCAACTTGGAGTCAATGTAGGCATGATTTTTTGCTATTCTTTTGCCTTTTTTCTGGAGAATGGATTAGCTATGTCCAAATGGTCCAATTCACTAAGATAGGCATAGATTTGTCAAATAAAGGGTTAGCTCAAGAATGCGTTATGCTTGAAATGTCAAACTACCTCTTTTAATGACTTAAAGGCCCTATCCTATTATTTTCAAATGCATCTCTGCACCGACTTCCTTGGACTCATTGGGATCATATAATTGCGCTGTTAGGTCTATTTGCCCAACACTCAACTATTTATTTCTATAGTTATAGAATAGAAGATCCCGAATTATTAATTTTGGCAGAATTGAAAATGTTGTGGAGTATACTCGATGAGAATACTTCGTAAAGATATTTTTTTTCTTGAAGTGAATAAATACTCAAGCAATACTAGCAGCAACCAAAAAAGAGAATTGTATTAGGGTAAATTACATTATGACTCCAAATGTTTTCCACATTTGGCCTAACACGTATAGTACCATTTCTACATCCCGTCGCTCATCTCCTTTTCCACTTCAAGTGCATAGCTTTGATATTTTTTACACTTTTCATCTTTGTGGACAAGATCCGTGAAACCTCTTTTAGAAAGTCATTTTAAGGGTACTTTCATCCTTTCAAACCCAATGGTCGGGGAATTCATTTTTCCTATCCAAGTAGGGTAAGGTCTGGGTACACACACCCCCAACCCTACGAAGCTATTCTCTCTCTCTTTTTTTCAATCACTTACCCTCAACAATGATGTAGTACTCTTGGGTGAACCTCAACTCCGTGTTCTTGACTATCATTTTGGTATGGTGACTGACTATAATGCTGGTCATCGTTGTGAGAAGCGCGCTTGAGGCGCGTTGCGCCAAGGTTAGTGCATCATAGATATGATGTGCGCGATGTTCCTAAGGTGCGCACATTATTGCACCTCATTGCATTATGCGATGTTGAGTGATGCGCTAGAATGCGCACATTTTGAACATCTGAGTCATTATTTTAATTTTTTTAGGATTATGTTTAGCTATTAGTGTTATTTTTTATTCCGCCTCACCCTTTACTTCAACTTATCTTTACGATCCTCAAGAAAAGAAGATCAAACGGCATACAACCATCTCCCTTCAACAATCTCTCTTCTCTTTCTTCTCTGCTTCAACCCTTTTCGTCACCATGGATAACGCTATTGTTTGGGGTTTAGTGTGCATTGTTGCACACCAACCCTCCCAGTTAACATATTTTTTTCTTCTTTATGTATTTTTATACAAGGTTCTCTTTTTTTTCAAACATTTTTTGATCTCTCTTCTCATTCTTCTCTGCTTCAACCCTTTTCCTCACCATGGATAACACTATTGTTTGGGGTTTAGTGTGCATTGTTGCACACCAACCCTCCCAGTTAACATATTTTTTTCTTCTTTGTGTTTTTTTATACAAGGTTCTCTTTTTTTTCAAACATTTTTTTGATGTACATAACATATATTTTCTTCAAATAATTTAATCTATGTCTAGCAGATATATTTTTCACATCTACAAACTGTTCTATATTTATCCGTTGTTTGTTAAGTGAACTTTTCAGATTTATTTCTGCAAACACATTGTTCTAGCATGGAAGAATCTCCAATTTCATGTTCTTCACTTTTTGTTTATGACTTTTGTTGTTCTTTGAACTTTTTGGTTTTTTATTTTGTTAATGGTACAATATGTGACTTCCATTCTTGGTTGATTTCTAAAACTTTATTATGCTTTCCAAAATTTTATATATACTATTACTAATGTAGATATACTATTCTACTAGTGCCTCAATTTGCGCCTTGTGTTCGTAATGCATGCGCATTGGGCCTCAAGGCGCTAGAGCCTTTTAGTGCATAGGTGTTCATCGCGCCTTAAATTACTATGATGTTGGTGAAGAAAAAGCCCCATTGTTCATGATGAGGCATCACTTATGAGGTTGCTAATATTTACGATGGCCATCTCTGGGTTCTTCATACGTTACAACTTACAAGTCATGAATTCTCTAACAATTTAATGAATGGTCCATTTCATTTTACTCTTTTTAATCCTTTACACCCCAAAGTCTCAAATTTTCTAACTATTTTTTTTGACAGTTGATGCGAAAAATTCGACGTCTTAAGTCGATGGTCTTGTGACCATATTTATACAACTCACTTGGGGAATGCCAGAAAATTTTTAAATTATTCAAAACCTAACACACATTTACTTGCTTATGTACATTTTCATGCCTAAAGTTTGACTTGTAGCCTAAAGGCGCACTCAGTTTTTTGGGTTAGACTACATTTTTGTTTATTTTGTACCATTGATTTTATCCATGACAACTGTAGGAAGTCAATGGCCTCTCCTCGAGTTAGATGTAAAAAATACTATTGTGTCATTTTTTTTTCTTCCCTCTAAATGTTCAAGTTCTTGTCTCCCTACTGATTTTGAGCAATCATTCGCTAGTTGGTATAAAAAATCTCATCAAATGATTTTATTTTATAAGTTGTAAAAGGTAAAAATTACACATTTCAAAACTACATCAAAAGTTAAAAAAAGACGTGATAAGAATATTTTATCTTATCAAATGATCAATAAAAACACACAAAAGTTATCAAGAGACCGTAATTGTAACTATAAAGCTTACTTAGGGACAGAGAGGGAGTTTGTATGTGTGTGTGTACAATGCTGTTCACGTGAGAATGGTCCTTACTGTAAGAAATGAGAATGGTGCATTCTTCGTCCACTGTGATGCATTTTACACTTGAAGTAATCCATTTTTTGGTGGTGGCAGAAAATTTTAATTTATTTACCAAAATGCCACCGCAATAACTACCCTTAGATCTTAAATATAATGGATCATATATATTCTCATCTCTTTCATTGTGCATCATTTTCATTTGAACCAAAGTGTATATATATGTGTGTGTGTGTGTGTGTATGTATATTTATATAAAGAGTTAACAATGGCATATGTGGGTTAATACAATAATACAACCTCCAAACGCTTCTAGGAGTGATGTTTTCATTTTTAGCTTGAAGTATCAAGCAGCTACAACGAAAAAGTCATTTGCCAAACATTCATTTTGGCTGATTGACTAGTCAAAGCAGCCAAAAAATGGCCAATGAATCATTTCCCAAACATACCCCATCGCCAAATTGCGTGCTTATCTTCTTACCACTTTATTATTGGACAAATATATATTTTGTATTTCTATTCATACAAATATATTTTATATCTTTTCGTGTTTTATGGTTGTATTATATGTCATAGCCCTCTATCGTCAAGGAGTTTTCGGTGGTCATAGTACAATTGGCCATACTGAATCTTGGTTTTCAAGCAATCCTTTAACCAAGCGTCCTAGATTTGATTCTGCATGCAATTTGCCCATCTATCCTCAGAGGCCGGGAGAGAAGGATTGTGCCCATTATATGCTCACAAGAACCTGTAAGTTTGGAGATAGCTGCATGTTTGACCATCCTATTTGGGTTCCAGAGGGTGGAATCCCAGATTGGAAAGAGGTGATCATCTTTGCTATTAGTCTTTTATGAAAACTTACAATGCCATCAAATCTCTCTCATGTATTGCCTCTGTATTATCTTCCATTTATACATATACATTATACATATATACATACATAAATGCACACACACACAGGTATATATATATATATATATATATATATATATATGAATGCTCTGTTATTTTCTGGAAACAATGATGCCTAGATATGTTATAAATTTTCTGACTACCTATATGCATTAAATTGAATAGCTTTATTATAACAATGAAATATATATTTTGAAAAAACTTGTAATACCATGTATTAGATCAGATGAAGATCGTTGGGAATTGAATCATAACACAATCAACTTTTTAATGAATGATTCGGACTTTGTATAAATGGCTCCCGCGGGAAAAATAAGGTCGAAGATGAATGGTGGAATAGCTTTACAAATTTCGGCCTAACTAGAAAAGAGAAATATTCATTCTTAAATTGAGTTCAAAACTTCAAATACAAATCTTTAAAAAATAATTATTCTTTGGTGTACTCAACTTTAGGTGCACTGGCTCTCAATAATTACCTTTTTGTGGGATTTCATTAACATAATAGTCCCTAGTATTACCCATAAATAGACATAACTCTTTGTTCTTTAGTTGTACCACTCCTCGAGAAGAAAGGAACCATCCTACATAGTCTCTTTTATTCTATACTGACTTCTGTTAGTGGGGGGCTGTCTTGGAAGACCGGAATTGAGATTGATCGTCAAACCAACAAACAAGGTAGAAAATCATAAATTTAATGCATTCCCACATTTGCTGAGGTGAAATTGCTAATTTTTAATAGCATGTACTGGTAATAGTAAATGAATGGGTTTTTCTGAAGTGTGCCCATAGATTACATGATCAGAAAAACATCATGAGTAAGAAGCACTTCAATTATTCTTTACCAAAACTAATGTACACACACATTTTAATGGAATAGGAATGCAGTTGTCATTATTGCAATGGTGGACGCGTGGGTTGAAGCCGATGCTCCCCCCTCCCAAATTTTTCACCAAGTAAATTCAATTATCCCAAAAAGTAGAACATGCGAGTTTTGATTATCCAATGTTTCTAAAGAGTAGGTATAATTTTATGTACTTTCCCAATATGAAATCTTGTGTCCACCACGTATTAAAGATGACTAGATATTGAGTGTGAGATAGATAAGGTTGGCTTGTCCATGAGGAGGTGGAAAATATAGCTTTTTGTTCACCATAGAGGTATTCATAGGTCTAGATCTACTTCCATTAGTTGGGGAACATATGACTTTTATTGTAGAATTATGATTAAATGTGAAAAATTTAGATGGTAGTTTCCTCACGTGTTATCCTTACAACTTGTCGCCTTAATGACCTTATATGATTTTTTTGGTCGTTTATAAGGAAGTCCTTTACACCATCTTATTTATTGCTATTTAACTCTTTTATTTTCCTCCATCTCTTCATTTTCTTCAGACATGACATGTGCATTTCAGAAGGGATATCTTTGTTACTCTCCATAGCTTGAATATTGCAATTTGTGTCTATCAATTTGTGTCTACTGACGTAATGGTTACCGAGTATTCATTTTACTACCCACTCTGATAAATTCTATCCATCTGAATTCTTATATTTTCTATATACGACTCACTAATACCATAACTCCTACTTATTCGCCAGCCCTACACTGTATTAAGAACAGTTGCTCAGTCTTGTAAATTTCACCACATGTACATTTCTCTTAGTTACCATCTGCAATCTCGACCTCATCTTGCTTTTCTATCTCTATTATCTGATGTGCATTCTTAAAACGCTCATGAGACTCTCTTGGACCTATGTTGTTCACTGGCTAGGTTGATAGAAATGGAGGCCTTGCACAATTGCACTCTAACAATACTTGGGATTTCATTCCTCTCTCGCATATGTTGTTCTAGGTGGGCTCATACTGTCAAAATTGGACTTGATAGTATATGAGTATATGGGTTATCTTAATGCCTAGTTTGCCACCGATATTAGTTTCTGTGTCCCCCACAACTGGCACGTGAAGCTTCCACACTCGCCGGAGTCCACATCAGGCTGTGGTTCCTTGGCAGCCTGTGTCCTTCAAGGCGTCCTTGATTAAGGACACATGAAACTAGATGCGACAACCGTGCTAGAGTCGCCACTGATTTTGTAAAAGTAGCCAGAGCAAATGACCATAAACCAGAGGGAAATGAGATGAGAAGATAATTATTTTGTTCATTGACTATTCTCTTAGACAAGAAGTTCCTTGCATATATCTCCAAAGTAAATACAAAATATTTCAAAATGTTAGACTGAGAAAGTAATTAATGGAGCAGAGTTATTCCATTATTTGTATTTATTTCCTTCCATCATTTAGTAGTTCGATCTATGAAAGGAGAAGAATTACGGTAGTAGTTGTCTGTCATAATTAGAAGATGTTTGGCTCACGATATCTTAGAAAAGTAAGTAGCAGTTAGAGCATTCTAGTGCAGAAGCTGAATATTGTTGTATGTAACTTTGTGTGTGTGCGTTGATACGGCTAAAGGGCCTGAAGCATTTACTTAAAGAGGTACAATATGCTACTGCACCCCAGATGGTCTTGACATGTGATTATCAAATGGCACCACATATTGCAAGGTTTAATCCCACTATTCTAGTTTTGTGGCAAATCCAAGTCCTCCAGCCTTGGGGACAATGCTGTTCTGAAGTGGGCGACAGTGATATGATAGAGGCAGTCTAATTTAAAGAAAATCAGAACCATAATGGAAGTCAATCAATTATAAATTTCCCGCCTTAGATGGATTCGGGACATTTGAGACCTAAATATCACTCTTATAATTCCTCAAGCAATTTCTTGTCTGCCTTATTTACATATTGTTAGATAATAGATAAAGACTTTAACAAATGAGGCATTAAAAGATTTATAGGATTTGGGTTTCCTTAGAGATGTGCATTCTTAGGCCGTTGAATAAGTTATCCTGCTGGGAATACGTTGGGTATTTCATGTTTGATTTCTTCTATGTGTATGTTTCTTCATTTTTCCCAATATTATAAAGTTTCAGCTTCTTTCTTGATCATCTCTTCCATTGCATCATTACGCTCAATCAATGCATAAACACTATACACTGTTTTGATGGGTTTTTTGTATGTAAACTTATGTACAGTATTTAGTGTTATAGATGCATATGTCATGTGCATTAGATAGTAGATCTGAGCCTAGCTTTCCTGTCAGTTTACACTTAACTTCCACGCTGTTATGTCAAGTTCTTGCATGTAATTCCTTTAATTTCATTCTTTGAATATGCTCTAGACATTTTTTTCTTGTTGACTAATCTATGCTTCTGATCCAATCTCACTTTTCTTTTTGTCAAGTGCAGATACCTATTACGAATGAACCTCTTCCGGAGAGACCAGGAGAGCCGGATTGTCCCGTAAGTGAACATTATAAAATGATGATTGCACCTATTAATTTATTTGATTATTCAAATGAATATCTCCCTTAGTGTACCTAATTACCTTGGGTACTCTTACAGTATTTTCTCAAGACTCAGAAATGCAAGTATGGTATTAGGTGCAGATTTAACCACCCTAAAGATAAGGTAATAATCTTCTTTAGGTAGTATAACTGTTTCCAGTTTCCCATACAGTATGCTAACCGGATTCATATCAATGATTAATTATTTATTGAGTGCTTTTGCTTTAGGGTCTTGGAAATACTGATGCTCGTGCTTTACCTGAAAGGCCTTCAGAACCGATATGTGCGGTATGGTGTTTATTATTAAGGAACATTTTTTCTATGATGTAGAAAATAAGGAATATATGCATGCACCATAACCGGTTCATGATTCATTGTTAGAATATTTTGATATTCTTTACCAGTTCTACATGAAGACGGGACAATGTAAATTTGGTGCTACTTGCAAGTATCACCATCCAAAAGACATACAAATACAGAATTCTCAAGAAAATGGAAGCACTGCACACACTGGATTATATGGAATGTTTGGGGAAGCAAAGTCTTCTGCCAACCCTGCTATGTTGCACAATTCCAAAGGTCTCCCTATCAGGCCGGTAATACCTTGTTCTCTTCCACCCCAGCCCCCTTCTTCCTGGCTAAGTTAACATGATGCTGTATTCTAGATTCTAATTGACTTATATTTAGTGACCAATAAATAGTAATAGACCCATCTTCATACACAACACTCATAGGGTTTGCAATAATTAAATTTCATTTCTAATGAACTACTAATTGTTGTGCCAAAGGAAAATGGTAAAACTTCTATTACAGATAAACACCAGAAAAAACTTAGTAGTTCTCAATAATAATTCTAGTGCTAGGAGGCCAAATGCATATTATTGTGGAAAAATATTAGTGTAAAGACTAAACCTTCAAGCGAACTGCTATATTTGTAAATCAATCTCAAGGTGTTGTTTTTTTATGATCATGGTCTGTCTTGTACCATATCTGTTGCAACGTTTGGTTAGACCTATTTATTGGCTAACTGAACAACAGTTGGGACCTGCAATTTTTGTAAATTGCATGATTCTTTATTCTTAGATGGTCTGATTGCATTCTTGTGTAAAGGGGTCTATTTGACGCTCAATAAATTATTATTTTTTTATTCACCGAAGAAACATTTATGATTTTTTATCGTTTACTAATTTCTACCACTTACTAATTTCTACAACAGGGTGAAGTTGATTGTCCTTTCTACTTAAAAACTGGAAGGTATGCTTATTTGTCTGTGGGCAGTGGCTATTTGTTTTTTCTTTTTGGTACTCTTAGCTCTATATTTTTATGCATAACATATTAAATGTGTTTGAGTCCCGAAACAGCTGCAAGTATGGAGCCACTTGCCGTTACAACCATCCTGCCGTATATGGTGAGTTGATCTATTGAAATTCTTTTTTCAAGTATAAATAACTTTACTAATCAAGGACTCCTCTCATAATTTTCTCTAGCCCACAATTTTCGCAATTCATCCCCGTTGCCAATCTTAATTTAAGTAACTGGTTTCTTAGGTTATGTTTGTGTGTGTGTGTCTATATATATATATATATATATATATATATATATATGATCGGGGCCCCTATTCTTACAACAAAAAAAATTACAACAATTTTTATAATAATGTGATCAGGGCATCTATGTTGCTCCATTTGTAATATTGATTGTTCCTACCGCTCGTAACCATCCTACCAAACCCCCTCGGCCCATCCCATCTCCAACGCACTCTCGCACCCTCTCCAATTGGAGCACTTTGCATTTTATTGACTTTATGGTCAATTTTTTTAACCAAAATGAAATGTGTTAAAATTGGAAGGGGTGAGTTGGGGATGGGACGGACGGGGGGGGGGGGGGGGGGGGGGGGGGGGGGAGGTTACGGGGGGTAGGAACTATCAATTTCACAATCGAAGCATGGTAGGCACCCCAATTAGAGTGTTGTACAAATGTTGTAAAAATTTTTTGTTGTAATTTTAAGGCTCCTCTCTCTCTATATATATATATATGTGTGTGTGTGTGTATGTATATATATATATATATATGTGTGTATATATGTGTGTGTGTGTGTGTATATATGTGTATATATAT